TGGATAAGGAGGAGGGGAGAGTGTCTAACTGCCCTCATAGATACTACATACACACATGGATATGAAACAGGATGCGCTTGATCCTTGGCACCGGAAGTGATGTATTGTGACGTTTACACTACACGTGTATAAGCATGGCACAAGCAAAATAGTGAAGAAATCCAGTTGAATTACTTACTAAAGCTCAGGTCTACGACTATATAAGAGTTGCAATCGATATTCTAGTTCTAAAAAGTGAAGATCTACTATTACAAGAAAGAATGCACTGTGCTAAGTACTAAAAAAATTATTATTTAAATTATTATCATTATAATGATTATTCTATTCTTCAGTGACCCAATAGATTGATTATTATTATGAGTCCTTCAACAAATTTTAACTATAAAAATAGCAATAAAAACATTGACAACAATTATTATAAACCGTACTTACTGTATCACCATACAGTACATACTGTAATGTACATCATCTCTATCTTGATAGTTCTCTGTGGTAGCATAAATATAAAGCTTTACAATCATGTAACAATGTCTCATCAATGCCACTGAAATCCTGCTTGTGTTTCTTGGTAAATAACCTATTCTTTCACTACTCAGTTCTCACTAAAAATTAAACCACACCCTTTGAAACACTTGCAAAAAATATATTATTACTTTTGAAACATAGCATCTAGAAAAATGAAACCATAAACAGTCTATATAAGAGGCCTTAATGAATACACTCAAAGTAGTAACTTGTTCATACCTGGTGCAGAAGTCTCAAAAAGGTGGTTACAAAATTAATATTAAAAAAACTAGTTTTTGGCTATTATCTCAGTCATTTCTCATTACATTGAGACGAGAATAGTTTCAGTCCATGTAACAAACAATACACTATTATGATTCCAATGACTTACTAGCTAACTCCATTCGAGAGTCTAGAAAAGGTGGTTACAAATAAAAATGGAGGTCTTCTAATTTTGAAGTGCCGTTAGGGAGAGATTGTTACCATCCCGTAAATGTCCGTAAAACAAGTTTGTGCGCATGCGCATCGGTGCAAAATGGAACTTTGTTTTTGTCAGGACTGCTCTAGGGACTTTTAAAGCCTTGGGACTCTCTGAAATAAAAAAAAACTAAACCCTAAACCAGCTAAGGGGCTCCTAAATTGAGTAGGGACGCTCTAAAAAAAAAACCGCCACCCTAACCCCTAAACCCTAAAAACAATAGCTAAGTCCTAAAAAAACAATAGCTAACTAGGGGACTAACATAACTAGGGGAGAAGGCTAAGTAGAAAAGGTAAAAGGTTAAATTTTTGAAAGTAAAAAAAAAGAAAAGCAAATTTGCCCTGCCCTGAGCTGGATTCGAACCAGTACCACGTCCACATTCTGCCCCATGCCTTCCCCACTGAGCCACCACGATCCTACTGCCTCAACCCCACTGATTGTCGTATCTATACTTAATTTCTATATTGCTATAAGATAGTATACTGGGGCGAAGCCCCAGTATAGTATACAGGCGAGGCCTGTAAAAGTCCTTTGACGGATAGTTTACGGGATGGTAACAATCTCTCCCTAATGGCTAGTTAATTTTGTCATGTAAACATGAAGCCTGTTGACAAAATGAAATGAGAATATATCTATTAGGTCTACTGAACAAAAAAAAGACCTATATACCTTCTTTCACAAAAATAAGTGAGTCAAGAAAATTCTTGAAAACATAGACAGAGAGAAAAGCGCCAAGGATAGAGCTATGCTGGTTATGACGTTTACAGGTGAACTTCAAAGAGTTAATTAGATACCGACTTCCTGTTTCATATCCATGTGTGTATGTAGTATCTATGCTGCCCTATGCTGCTAGTGATATGTGCGCGTAGAAGTTTCATGGTTATTATTTGTACATTCCCGCATACCTTATTTAGCACAATAAGTGATAACTGCACTAGCACTGAAGCCATAGTTGGGCGTGTACTTAAGTTAACTGTAATATAAAAATGGCTGCTGAACTGAGCAGCAAGAGCCAAGCAGAATTTGACCTCACCTTGTTGTACCAGTCACTTTGTACCACTCTGAAGAGATTTGTAGTTTCCAAGCACACAAACCATGTTTGTTATTGACACATGAAAAGCTCTTGAGACTTGATCAATGATCATCCTCCTTTAGTCTGGTCCCTTGGGACCCACATCAAGAGTAAGGATAATAATAGAAGTGAAAGAATATGTGGTACATGTACTTTTGAGACGGGCTGTTAACTGCTGTTGATCTTAAAAACGAAGTATTACAGATCTGAGTTCACTGGAGCAGAGGCTTCTGACTCTTGACTCCATGTCCTCTTTCTTGATGCTTTAGGGCGCTTAGGTGTAGTGGCATGGCGCTCATCAAGATTAGATGCTCTCAATCTGTTGTAACAGTCATGATCATCTGGATTGTGCTGTAGTTCTGACTCTTCCTCTTGAAACATCGTGACTACACGTGTGGGTGGGTGCACCATATAGGTTATTAAAAAGCACACCCATTTACTATCATGGCTGTTGATGTTTAAACAGGTCAAAGAAGGTGCTCATAGGCGTAGGCAGGGTCGGGCATATAGGGGCAATGCCCGACCTGACTCTGTGAGCTGACCTGTGGGCAAGGGCAGTGAGGGCAGAAGCTTGGGCAAGGTGGTTGGGCAAGACTGAGTGTGCCACTGTATGTGAGACTGTCAGACTATCATTACCACAGGTTTAATTGGACACTGGAACTATACTGTCAGTCTGTGACTGTCACTTAGCCTGAGGAGTGAGGAAGAAGCCGGAGAGCCAGAGCTCTAGCAGCAGCCATTTTATTCAAGTTATGAATTATGATATCAAGTTAATTATTAGTGACGCCCAAGTTAATTATTGAAATGGCGAGCAAACGTCAATCTTCCATGCTGTTTGCACCTATATCTTTTATATATAGAAAGAGATTTGTCTTCTAAGCTCTGGGACTGCTTAAACGAGGTAGTTATCAAGTTTGCTGTCTCTCACAAAAACTCCAGTGATCATCATCAGGGTCGAGTTTCCGCCTCATTTTTTGTTAACTGGCTTTTTCAAAGCCACCATATCACGAAAAATTTCTTCTGCCTGATTACGATAAAACAATAATAATTGTGTATGCATGCATGATAGATAGTGCGAAATCGCCATATTTCGGGCGGCAAAAAAGAGGGTGTGGCCAAAATTTCGGCGCGCTTCGCGCGCCTACCATTTTTTTCTTGCCCGACCTTCTTTCCTATTCTGCCTACGCCCATGAAGGTGCTAAACAAACTCTGAAAGACTTCTACGCGCACATATCACTAGCAGCATAGGGCAGTTAGACACTCTCCCCTCCTCCTTATCCACTCTTGGTAGTATCTATGCTCTAATCTGTCTAGGTCTATTTGCGTTACGTCTTGTTTATGAACGGAAGAATACGATAATTACATTAGTATACTATTATTGATAAATTTGGACCACGTGGGCAAAATTAATCTAGAGGGTGTGGTCAAAAGAACAAGATGGCGGAAATTTTAACGTGACAAACTCAGATTGAGTTTCTAACAGTTAGATAAAAGAGAGGGGCTGTCTAAAGCATCTCTAAAGGCTGAAGAACTTAAAAGCAGTTTGATCTAAGACTCCTCTAGATTAGTCCTTTCATTGACAGAATTAAAATTGTGAGAGAAGCTTGATTAGAAGTTTAGCTTGTCACTTTTTCTCAAAGTATTAGGACAGTTCATTCTTATCACTTTTACTAGGTCATTTTGGTCAGTAGTGTTAAATATTGGGTTTGCTCTGTTCAGACCACACTGGACTATGAGAATGGGGTCTGAAATATGCATGCACGTTAAGAGCTGGATTGATTTTATTTCAGTAGTTTTATTTCAAAAAGATGTTAATTGATGGAAACTTGATTAAAAGTTTAGCTTGGCACATTTTTTCAAAGTGACAGGATAGTTCATCCTTGTCTCTTTTACTGGGTTATTTTGGTTTTGTTAACTGGTGTGTTTGCTCTGTTCAGACCCCAGCCATGAGGCTGGGGTCTGAATATGCATGCAGGCTAAGAGCTGGATTTCAGTATTATAATTTTAATCTTCTTATCAAACAATGTGAATTGATGGCTCGCCCCCTCAATGTTTACATTCACCTAGTTTAAATTCATACTCTCCTTGACCTTGGGAGACTCAGGCTCCCAAAAGTGAATTATTTCTCCAGCATTAGCCAATCAGCTGTGATTAAATATACTATGTGTGCATTGCTTTATAAAAGGCAATAATCTTTACATGTTTGCACCGTCGCTACAATAAATAATTAACACTCTTTTCACTTTACTCTTTTATTTTTAATAAAAGAAATTGGCTAATGTGTGTACAAGTAACAAAAATTAATGAAACTCTGACATGTACAATCTCTGACATGTACATTATCAAGAAAGTTTAGTCTGTCAGGCAAACCTGTCAATTTTCAGACCCAAAACTTTGTAGCCGTAGCAAGATACTCGTGTTTGTTGAGTCTTCCTGTTTTGTTCTTATCGACTGCATCAAAATGAGTACGAGCAACATCTTCATCAATGTTGTGGCCTTTCTTCAACAAGACCTTATACTCCTCAAAGGACAAGTATCCATTACGATTGACATCCAGAACATCAAAGCAAGCACTGGTAGACTTCTCTGTGTAAGTCAATTCACCTTTGGCGTGTTTTGCTCCCTCAATCACAGCAAATGCTGCCGACATCTCTCTGTGCTTGTCTTTACCAACTTTGAGGCCCTTAGCCATTCCCAACGCGTCCATCCATTCTTCTGTACGTTTGCGTGCTTCTGCCAGGGCTGGGGCAGCGTCAGGGTGATCAGATGCGGCTCTTTCAACCGCCCCCATCAAGGTTTCGACAACCTCTTCTCTGGTAACAAATCCATTCTTGTTACGATCCCAACGATCAAAGTTACCATCAATTCGTTCGACCCATTCCTTATCCTTTAGATAGTCTTCAGCAGTTCTGGCCATGATTATGTATTCCTTGAATCCTTTCCTCTCTTTCTCTTTCCTCCTTGTGATAAATGTGGTGAGTCTGGTGACTTTGGTATGCATCTACTGCGCACGCGCAGGTGCAAATGCAAGCATAATTGGCAAATATCCGGCATCAAGGCCACTCCAATTATAATGACATTCTTTCACGGGCAGGGCTGATGCCGGTGTTGGAGGGTAGTTGGACCCCCCTTCTTTTTGGACCGGGGGTCCAAGCGCTCGCGAGTAGTTGGACCCCCGGTCCGTATACTCCCTGAGCGCTTGGACACCGTGTTTGGACTCCCTTGGACCCCTCGCCCTCAATCTTTGGACCCCCTTTCTGCCGTTGGACGATCGCAAAACAAGATACCACACTGCTGTTACTTAGTGATGTATGAGCATGGTGCTTTGAATTGTAACCATAGATACTTCTTAAAAGGGCAAGACCAAATTGCTGTAACTAAACACACTTTTCATGCTGTTTCTAATAGTATGTTGTTGTCCTCTACGGTCTACCCAATTCTTTTACCCCTCCCTCTTAATTAATACTTTTGAGTCTGATATAATTTTTTTCCTGGGAATGGGTGTCAGAACAATGGGCTATCATGACATCCCTTCAGGCCTTTATTCTTCCCTCCGTTGACATTTCTGCTGTCTGTTTCTCTAATTCTCTTTATTCTGTCTAAGTCCTGTAGATTCTAATAATAATAATAATAATAATAATAATAATAAGGCTTGCTGTGCAGTATTAGTTGTTGCTGTCCTTTTTCTCTCGTCTCTGCCTATATTTGTCTTATACTGTTAAGTTCATAATAATAATAGTATTATTATTTTGTTAATATTAAATTTTATTTATTATAGGTAATTCAGTGTAGTTGAACAGTAGATTTTACATCCTCCAGGTTATCAAAATCTTCATCAACAACGGCTGAAAGCAGCTGGAATCTATAATAAAAACTAACTTTGGCCAAATAATGAGTTTAAGAAAAAAAGACTAATTATTGTAACAGGTCAAAAATTGACTATTTGTTATAACAGGTTTACATAGTGTACTGCTTTCAATGCCATTGATGTAGGTCAACAGTTCATCTGGCTATCTAGAAACAATAACTATAATAGTATAAACTGAGTGTTGGTAATTTATGATTATATTAAAGCCATTATACCATGTCATATTCAATCCATCAACAAATGTTTGAGGTAAAATAAGTGATATTTCCTAATATTTAGAAAATTCACTGAATCTCTTGAGCATAAAGCTCTCAGTCTTAACTTCAGCCATAGATACTTTAATTAAAGTATGTATGCTTCAGCTATACCTGAAAATTGTGTAAAAGTAGTCATGCATGCATTGATAAATCGGCCACATGGACTACAATCAGTTGTATCTACTTGCAATTTCTCTTACTGTCTTTAGTATCTATTTGTGAGGGATATTCTCCATGCTCCAATTATTTACATAATCAAATCAAAGCCTTTTCATAGCAGTACAGCTGCATTTTAGATACTACATGTGCGGCCTATGCGTATTAGCGTTGGGCAGGCAGGGGGTCCAACCGCACTG